GGAGAAGAAGATATTAGCATAGATCTTACGGTTACAAATAAAAATTTCAATAGTGAAATTATGAGACGTAGCTACCAATTTAGTACTGCACTTGAACCCGAGGTAACAAAGATAAAAGCTTATCATAACAATTACCAGGAAAATATTTATTGTAAAGACACAGAGACGCCACATTACGGTGATAGGGGAGTGATTGAAGCCGCGGTGACAGGTGTAGAATTAGATTTCTACATTCTCTCTTTTAAACCGGTTAAAAGGGAATCACAGCTAAGTATTCTCAGTTTGTGCTGAACCCATTAAAAATGGCTGTCAGTATGAAACAATGCTTTCTGATTGGTCCATAAATAATAATGTCATGTTTCTGCCTACATCCTCGAGTTGACCTGTTCAGAGTTCAATGCGCCATTCTCTTGAGTCTCCCACATGATAAAGAAAATTCATAAATATGAGACTTCGACATGACTTAGTGAGTCCTTAAAATAACAAACTTGTTACATGAATTCATAAAACCCAACTTCTTCGCTAAAAGTTTATTTTTATTAACATCAACTCGGCTGGTAGAATTTCTTTTCAACATCAACTCATCTAGTGACGAGATTCAGGAACCAACTCACTCAATATCTTAACAACATAAAGGAAATCGTAACTATATCAGTCGAAGCGAGACAACTCTACAGTAAGTCAAGCAATCTATTTCATTCAATTTCACCATCAACATAAACTGTTTAATTCTCTAGCAGATGTATTGCATAACACCATTTATATTACCCTTGATCACTCAACCAAGAACACTAAAGTATTTTAAGCAACTTTATTATATCGTGTGTACTTATTATTGTTATATATTTATTGTTATATAAAATATATATATTATTGTTATATAAAAAAATATTTGTTAAAACAAATCTCTGCCTATTTGATTATTTCTCTTGTTGTCTTTGTTGCATTTGATTTAGTAAAAATAGTAGAGGGTCAGTTTAATTTGTATTTTGTCACTGATACAGATTGGCTAACCCACTACAACCAGATCTACAGCATAACACCTTTTATCGCGAAAATACTTACTGTAAAGACGCAGAGACGCCATTTTACAGTGATGGGGGAGTGATTGAAGCCACATTGACAGGTTAGGACGGATAAAGTTACAGATTCTTCAGGAATTTCTAGATATATAGCAAAAGCACCAGCTAAGATGCGGCTGCAATATTCGATGCACGGGCGAAAATATGTAAGATAGATTTAAGCTTCCCGCTCTGAAATCTCAGCCATTTTTTGATTAGTCTGTGTACTAAATAAAATAACGAGGCAGGCTATAAACGTTTCCGCTCTCAGATATATGAAGATAAAATGTTAATAAAATGACCCGTCACGCAACTACCAACACTTCAAAAGTAGGATATAATTTAACCCATGGTGATTTAAAGAGTTAATTCCTGGTGAGTGAGGATCTCTTTCTTCTTGATTTTTTCAGTGTATTTCAATAAGAAAAACATTATCAATACATTAACATTATACATATAATAGTCTTTAGTCTGCCGTCAACGCTCTTTGTGGCACGTTTCATTTTCTTTTATTTTCAACTACGCCGCCATTTGTTGATCATTCGGTGCACCAAACAAAATGGCGGGCCAGGTATCAAACAGTCGCATTAATAATGACCCATCAAGTAGACACAGACATTTTTAAAATGAAAGTACATTTAACCCACGATACTTAAAAGTCGGTACCTCCACATTTTTGGCATAAATTTTCGATACCTGAGCTTTAAAATGAATTTTAACGAATGAAAAAGCATTCATTTTAGCTTTAATTGAAAACTAAAGGATTAAATTTATTATTTTCATGAAGTAACCAAATATTTTAACCAAAATTTCGAACGTGTTAGAAAAGATTAAAAAAAAATTTTAAAATAATCAAAAAAATACTTTGGTCTTTCCTCTTAATAAGGACATAAACATTTTTACGATAAAAGATTATTTTTGTTAAGTTTTTGGCATTTTTCATTACGCTATGCTGTTTTCCCGCGAAAAAGTGGAGTTGACGAGATCTTGTTTCCCGGCAAAGCGCCCAGAGATTTTCTAAGTTTGTATTCGTCGCACGAAAGAGCGTAGCACCCACCGAGAATTGAATCCACAACAGCAGTAGTAGTACTACGTGGCAAGGTCGTTCATGGCGATTAATCCAGATATGGTTTAAAACGAATGTTTAAGACTTATACTGCTGCATTATAACACTGTTGTCCACTTTATAGTAATTTGGTATTTACTCGACCCCAACTAACTAGCATTGTGACACAAGGTCGGTTTAATGTGAGGAGCCCGAGCGCGTACACCCGGGCTAGGAACAAAAATTCCCCAACCCCCTGAACCGTCGGTTGCGCTAGCTTCGCTCCTAGTACCGATCCCTTTCTCTGTCCTTCAACGCAGCCGTCCCCGAGCGCAGTCTGCCGAAAGACAGAGACGCAAGATGATGATAAATAAAGTGATTTTCCAAGCGTAGCTTAGATGTGGCACAAGGCCGAAAGTAGGGGGCACCCAGTGAGAATCGAACTCACAACACAGTCGTAATTTTTCTAGCGAGACAAGACTGCTAACCATTACAACACACAGAGGTGCCCAAAACACTAGCTAGATGTGGCACAAGGCCGAAAGTAGGGGGCACCCAGTGAGTATCGAACTCACTACTCAGTTGTAATTGTTCTAGCGAGACAAACTTGCTAACCATTACACCGCCACGAAGCGTCCAATGATGATGAATAAACGCGTTACTAAGCAGCTTGTGTCATATATTATTTACATCTATCACTTTTCAGGTTTAACTAATTTGCATATCGATTTTAAAAACTATATTTTGTTAATTAACTATCATTCATTACTGTCCTTTCATTCGAGGTTTGTTTTGATTTTCATGTCAAAAATAGTTCTGTTTAGAAATATTGTCTTATGTAGTGCAGAAAAGGGTTTGGAATTTGAATTTTACTTGGCCTTCAACAAGTTATCATATATAATTTGTAAGACGTTCCTTAACTATAACAGACCTGCCCCCATCTGACTAATTATTATTTTCTTTCTTTACAGTAATACTCTTTGAACAAATATATAGAACATTCCCAACTCCTTTAACATTTCATAAATAGTGAACATTAATAGAAAGACAACTAATTTTTCCTAGAAAAATTACCAGGTTATTTTTCTAAGGTAGACATTTATCAGTTTATATATCTAGCGTCCATAATTAGCTGATTCTTTTTTCTTTTTTTTTACACAAGTTACGGTGTGGAAATTTTGGAAACTCCATGCTATCAAAATGAACTTTTCTGAGTAAGTAGGAAAAGTAAAAAAAAGCAAACAATATTTCATACACAAACGTAAACCCCCACCGCCGAAAGAAAATATAAAAATGCTTCCTTTTTAATTATTTTAAAAAGTCAAATAAGCTAATGACTAATTTGCCTACACCGCTTAAAATATCTTCAATTAAATGATTGTTCTCTTCTTTTAATTTTAATTAGAAATCCAGTCACAATTACCAGTTAAATGTCTAATATCTATTTTATTTTTTTCCCTTGGGAAACATAGGGCTAAAACAATACATCTCCAACGGAAGCCGCTCCGGGTGATCCTCTTCAGCTCGGCTCATGTCGTGCCGGCTGCCTTGATCTCTGCGTCAACTTTTCTGCGCCAAATCTATTTTGGTCAAGCGACTTTTTGCCTCCCTTGTGGATTCCAGTCAAGGGTGTGCCCGGTGACGCTAGAAGCAGGCCTGCGGAGTGTGTGGCCAATCCGTCCCCATTTCCGTTTCTTGATGTCAATCTCGATTGGGGCTTGTCTGGTCATGTCCCACAGTTGCTCATTGAAGACAACTTCCGGCAACTTGATATTAATGATGTTGCTGAAAGATCAGTTGGTAAATGTCTGAAGTTTGTTGGTGATGGTCTTGGTTACCCGCCATGTTTTTGGGCCGTAAAGTAGGCCTGCCTTAAAAGTGGGATCATATTGAAAAAAACGCTCTTTGAGTACTAATATGAGAGTGGAACTCAATGGAGACAGCAAAGGAATTTAGTGACCTCTTTTCAAAAATGATGATAAACCCTATCCGCATCAAGTCAGAATGATTTCACGTTGTATTGTTTCAAATCCTGTAAATGTTTCCTTTTAAATACTCTGTAATTTCGAACGCGATATTTCGACTTTTAAGTCCTTTCTTTTGTTACTGCATTTGACAATTTTTTTTTCTATCGTTTGTTTTTATTTGTTTCTTGGGAAACAAAGAAATTTAATTCTTGTCAATGAGATCTGATTTGTTTGGAGGCAGGAGAAAGAAAAAAAGCAAAAAAATGCGAAGACAGAAAATAATTTAAATAAGTAAGTGTAAATAAAGTTATGAATATTCAAATGGGGAAGAAAACCTGGTTTTCGAGATAATGTGATGATGAAGAAGTAGGGAGTGGAAACAGATAAGAAAGAAAATAGATTAAGGCGATGTTGTGGTGGTATCAGTAGGCAAGTGTGTGAGATAGGATTTTATATAGAAAAATGTAAGAAAGAGAAACAAAAAAAAAACCAAAACCCCCCCAAAAAAAAAACAAAAAAATAAACAGAAAAAGAATTGCCTGCAAATAAATAATAAAATAAAGCGTACTTCTTTTGTATACATTTGGTTGTTTTTTCGCGCCTTTCCTAAGTTAATACTGAAAATCTCGCCAAATCTCGTCAAATCTCGGATGAATTTTCAATTGAATGATTCTGAGACGAATTTGAAATCTTTGCTCTGGTAGATTTTATCTTATTTTTCTTTAAACACATAAATCGCGCGAACACAGCCCTGCATACATACGCACGTGTGTGCGTGTGTATCTATCTATCTATCTATCTATCTATCTATCTATCTATCTATCTATCTATCTATATGGAGAGAGAGATATCTCGATAGATAATGTGCGCATTATCAACTTTTATCATACAAATCAATATTTTCGCATTAAAACTGGGATATTGCTT